ATATATATATATATAATCATGACCTCTACAAAATTATCGGTACAGAATGTGAATGTTGTTGGTTACAACATTACATTTTTTTGTACTTTTTGGCCAAATAATTCCTGTAATCACTGTAATTTCAGAAAGGTGGGTTGTTAAGTATTGAGACGTAGAGGCTTGTTCACTCTGTTTAGTGTTGTAAAACCATGTCAATCAGATATCTATCCCTGGCTATGGAGGAGATAAGATAATATATATCAGTTGGTTAGCAGACATATTCTAGGTTCTTGTTCTCATATATCAGGTCCTTGTCCTCATGTATCAGCTCCTTGTCCTCATATCCCAGCTTCTTGTCATCATACCCCAGCTCCTTGTCCTCATATCCCGGCTCCTTGTCCTCATATACCACCTCCTTGTCATCATATCCCAGCTCCTTGTCCTCATATCCCAGCTCCTTGTCCTCATATCCCAGCTCCTTGTCCTCATATACCACCTCCTTGTCATCATATCCCAGCTCCTTGTCCTCATATCCCAGCTCCTTGTCCTCATATCCCAGCTCCTTGTCCTCATATACCACCTCCTTGTCATCATATCCCAGCTCCTTGTCCTCATATCCCAGCTCCTTGTCCTCATATCCCAGCTCCTTGTCCTCATATACCACCTCCTTGTCATCATATCCCAGCTCCTTGTCCTCATATCCCAGCTCCTTGTCCTCATATCCCAGCTCCTTATTGCAAATCCATGCCCACCTATCTACCTCGAGACAAGTCGATACCTACCATAAGGTTAATATAGCAGACCCCACATAACCCAACACTCTTACCCCTTGTGATATCGCGATATCATAATGATATCACCACTGGTAATATTCGACGGAGTCAAGCCACACCCATTGAGTAGTGGAAAATCGGACAGTATAATAAACCTGCTTCATCTCTCGCTGGCACCAAGGATACAGTGGCGCCTCGTATGCCATACCTGTTGTTGTTTTCCTGTTTAAGATGCGCTGCCTGGAACAAAAGTTCCAGGTAGCACGGGCTATGGTGATCCCGTAGTATGCCATACATATCCTAGAGGCTTACGGGGTTTTCGCTAAGATTTATTTCCACTGAATTTTTCATTTGCATTGAGAAGGGGTTAATTTGTTGATATAATTTTTTTAATTATGGACTTTCGGATTTATTCTGATCGTCAAATGTGCGTTTAATGTTAAAACTAATATGAGTTTAATAATTAAACCTGATCACACGTGTTTGAAAAAAATGACGATTTTTCGATCCATCCTCGACACCCCAAGTCGAAACGTGTCCATCTGTCCTGGGGCCAGATTCACGAAGCAGTTACGCAAGTACTTACGAACCTGGGGCCTGATTCACGAAGCAGTTACCCAAGTACTTACGAACCTGGGGCCAGATTCACGAAGCAGTTACCCAAGTACTTACGAACCTGGGGCCAGTTACCCAAGTACTTACGAAAGTGTACATCTTTCCTCAATCTTTGACGACTTTGGTTACAATTATGAAACAGTTTACAAGCATGAAAACTTGTCAATCAACTGTTAATATTGTTATAAACAGCCTCCTGGTGCTTCGGAGCTCATTAACTGTTTAATAATTGTAAACAAAGCCGCCAAAGATTGAGAAAAGATGGACAGGTTTGAAGGGGTTTGCGTAACTGTTTCGTGAATCTGGCCCCAGGACCCTTACTAAGTCATAAAGACATTTCGGTCCATCCTGGAGCCTTATAACGATTTCAAAGGATCGTTTGTTGATTAAACTCTCTGTTGTGATTTTTTCTCTGCATGGGATTAATCTTAACATAAAAATAATAGCAGTGGAAAATTTGAACCATTTCTCAACGATATATCAACATGGCAATATACTCCTGGGTATACCAAGTCATACTTCACCCTTGTTCATCATCATTCACTCCAGCCAAGTAATTACTGAAGGCTTGACCTTTGACCTTGTGAAGGAATGAGACAAATGCCTTCAAACATCAAGATTAGAGTCAAACTTTTAACTGAAGAATCAAGGGACGAATTCAATTCGTACGGTCATTGTGAACAAGGTGGCAGACTTAATAAGAATAGATATACGAGGGTCAGAGGTCAATTGACTTGCTTCAAGCTTCTGAATCCACTGAATAAATTCCTGTCGTAAATGAGAGCATCTTATCATGAATATATAACTATAAGGAGAATAAAGCAATCTAAAAGCTGCCATAAAAACGCTTTTCAATTATTTCAAAATTATGTATTGAAGAATATATATATATATATATATATATATATATATATATATATATATATATATATATATATATATATATATATATATATATATATATATATATATATATACCTGTGAGCCACTAACCCAAGTGGCCCCGACGAACAGGAAGCCGGCGGCTTGTTGAAGGTCAACATATATATATAAGAATTGTTATAATCAGTTAGAACTACGATAATCAGGTGTTTGGTGCAGCCTCTCAACTGGTGTACAGGTTCTTGAACCTCTGTGTGTGTGTGTGTGAAGTACAATTGCTCACACTCAATGGAATAACCCACAATTGAGATAAAAACAGACAATACGAGGTCAATAATTTGATCCCCTCCTCTGTCTTCAGTAGCAGGTAAAAGAAAAAAAAGTTTGAGAACGGGTCTTGTATATAATATGTTGACCAGACCACACACTAGGAGGTGAAGGTGCGACGACGTTTTGGTCCATCCTGGACCATTTTCAAGTCGATTCACTTGTATATAATATTAATTGGGTGGGCTGGGAACATGGATTCAGTGAGGGTATAATGATTCTCTCGACGTGTTTCCTCACCTAATAACCAATGTCCTGTGGAAATATCAATATTTATACAAAGAGATATATGTAATTTATATCCAATTGATACATCAATGAGATAAAACGGTAGCAGGAGTGAGAAGGACTCGAACCTGTGATCTGGATACTCCCCCAAGCACGTCCTAGACCACTACACCACGACATGTAAAAAGCATTGCAAGTTGGAATTCAGTTGAATCCTCTAGGATTGCAGAGGTTTCCAGTGAAGCCAGAAATGAAGGAACAGATCCTCAAGGGCCGTGACGAGGATTCGAACCTGCGTCCGGGAGCATCCCAGACACTGCCTTAATCGACTGAGCTACGACAGGGTAAAATTTGTTCATTTGTTCATTTGATGCATCACGTTAGTGTGATCTCTGTGTGTTTAGAAATGAGGGTTTTCACCCTGATGCTCTTCAACATGTCGTAGTGTAGTGGTTGTAAGGCGTATGCCTGGGGGGATACCCACAGTTCGAATCCCACTAACAGCATCTACTGATTTTCTCATTATTATTTATATAACCAGATTTCAGTTTTTTTTTCCTTTGAAGTCAAAATTTGGTCATAGAATTATCTATAGGAAGTTAATTTTCATAGTTTGTCCCAAAAATTTTGGCTTCGTGGCAAATTTTGGCAAAATTTTGGAATCTAATTTTACAGAATTTTATTGTCCCAGTCTTAGTGGTTTATGCTGAAGTTGTGAGCTGTTTTGGTAATAGATCAGACTTTGTTCAGCCTTCACGTTAATGTATACATTGACATAGGTTTATGTCAATGTATACACCGAGTTGAGGCTTCTTGGGCTTTGGGGAACTGCCTGGATTTGTCTTTCCTGTGGCTGAGGTACTCAAGCAGGAGGAAGAACTGGTTTCTGTGTTCATTGTACAAGCATAGAACCGCACGTTCAAATAGGGAGCCGGTTGTCCGATTGGACAGCACGCTGGACTTGTGATCCTGTGGTCCCGGGTTCGATCCCAGGCGCCGGCGAGAAACAATGGGCAGAGTTTCTTTCACCCTATGCCCCTGTTACCTAGCAGTAAATAGGTACTTGGGAGTTAGTCAGCTGTCACGGGCTGCTTCCTGGGGGTGGAGGCCTGGTCGAGGACCGGGCCGCGAGGACACTAAAAAGCCCCAAAATCATCTCAAGATAACCTCAAGATAAGAAGGTTCAAGAAAGGTACTGGCGTTACTAGGACGTTACCAGAACGTTATCAGGACGTTATCAGAACGTTACCTGGACGTTACCAGAACGTTACCTGGACGTTACCAGGACGTTATCAGGACATTACCAGGACGTTATCAGGACGTTACCTGGACGTTACCAGGACGTTACCAGCACGTCAGCACCATACGAAACTAGTCCCTTAACACGACGAGTCACAATAACGTGGCTGAAGATATAATGACCAAACTACACGTCAGAAGATGGAGAAACGACGCTGTTTCGGTCCGTCCTGGACCATATATTAAGTCGTGTGTCTTGATACGTATCAAGTCGAATCACACACGTGACTTGATGATGGTTCAAGACGGACCGAACCGTTGTGGTGTCGCCATCTTGTGGTGTGTGCTTTGGGCATCATAGGTACTTGGGAGTTAGTCAGCTGTCACGGGCTGCTTCCTGGGGGTGGAGGCCTGGTCGAGGACCGGGCCGCGGGGACACTAAAAAGCCCCAAAATCATCTCAAGATAACCTCAAGATAAGAAGGTTCAAGAAATACCTCATAGCTCGTTGAGGGTCCGAAAGTCTGTCTTTGATTGTAAAAGATGAATTGCAACTGTTGCGACTGGAGTGAGAACGCCAGCGAAAGCCTTTTCAGAGACCATTTTGGAAGCTAAAGAATGATTTTTGCTCTTTTAAGACATCGCAATTGATCTAATTTGGGGCAGGAATACCAGACGATGCGAAACATGTATATCTCTCACCAATCTCTGATGGTGGAATGTTGAAAGCCACGAAGGTCCGCTTGGGCCACATGTTCGCTTCCTCTACACAGTGTAAACATGATCCAGAGACGCAAGTTTGATCCCATCATACAGCCTCAGTAATTATTCACAGCTTCGTCACACTGTTGTGATTTCATAATGCATATACAACCACAACCATCTGTATAATGGGCATGAGAGGCATTGGGAAGGACTGTGCATGCCACAACAGTGAAAACATCTGTGTATACAACAGTGAAAACATCTGTGAATACAACAGTGAAAACATCTGTGTATACAACAGTGAAAACATCTGTGTATACAACAGTGAAAACATCTGTGTATACAACAGTGAAAACATCTGTGTATACAACAGTGAAAACATCTGTGAATACAACAGTGAAAACATCTGTGTATACAACAGTGAAAACATCTGTGTATACAACAGTGAAAATATCTGTGTATACAACAGTGAAAACATCTGTGTATACAACAGTGAAAACATCTGAGTATACAACAGTGAAAACATCTGTGTATACAACAGTGAAAACATCTGCGTATACAACAGTGAAAACATCTGTGTATACAACAGTGAAAACATCTGCGTATACAACAGTGAAAACATCTGCGTATACAACAGTGAAAACATCTGTGAATACAACAGTGAAAACATCTGTGTATACAACAGTGAAAACATCTGTGAATACAACAGTGAAAACATCTGTGTATACAACAGTGAAAACATTTGTGAATACAACAGTGAAAACATCTGTGAATACAACAGTGAAAACATCTGTGTATACAACAGTGAAAACATCTGTGAATACAACAGTGAAAACATCTGTGTATACAACAGTGAAAACATCTGTGTATACAACAGTGAAAACATCTGTGAATACAACAGTGAAAACATCTGTGAATACAACAGTGAAAGCATCTGTGTATACAACAGTGAAAACATATGTGTATACAACAGTGAAAACATCTGTGAATACAACAGTGAAAACATATGTGTATACAACAGTGAAAACATCTGTGAATACAACAGTGAAAACATCTGTGTATACAACAGTGAAAACATCTGTGAATACAACAGTGAAAACATCTGTGAATACAACAGTGAAAACATCTGTGTATACAACATTGAAAACATCTGTGAATACAACAGTGAAAACATCTGTGAATACAACAGTGAAAACATCTGTGTATACAACAGTGAAAACATCTGTGTATACAACAGTGAAAACATCTGTGTATACAACATTGAAAACATCTGTGAATACAACAGTGAAAACATCTGTGTAAACAACAATGAAAACATCTGTGTAAACAACAGTGAAAACATCTGTGTATACAACAGTGAAAACATCTGTGAATACAACAGTGAAAACATCTGTGTATACAACAGTGAAAACATCTGTGTATACAACAGTGAAAACATCTGTGAATACAACAGTGAAAACATCTGTGTATACAACAGTGAAAACATCTGTGAATACAACAGTGAAAACATCTGTGTAAACAACAGTGAAAACATGTGTGTGTACAACAGTGAAAACATCTGTGAATACAACAGTGAAAGCATCTGTGTATACAACAGTGAAAACATCTGTGAATACAACAGTGAAAACATCTGTGTATACAACAGTGAAAACATCTGTGTATACAACAGTGAAAACATCTGTGAATACAACAGTGAAAACATCTGTGTATACAACAGTGAAAACATCTGTGAATACAACAGTGAAAACATCTGTGTAAACAACAGTGAAAACATGTGTGTGTACAACAGTGATGATAACTATTGAGCCCGTCCCTGCAAACACACAATGCAACTGTCCCTAATTTTCCGCTTGTTACAACTCGTAATAAAGTTGTTATAACTAGTTATAATTGTTTTATGACGTAATAGAACGTTGTTACAACTTGTTAGGTGTTAAAACTCATTCTAAGGTTGTAGCAACGTAACAGCAACGTCGTAGCAACGTTGCAGCAACGTCGTAGCAACGTTGCAGCAACGTAACAGCAACGTCGCAGCAACGTAACAGCAACGTCGCAGCAACGTAACAGCAACGTCGCAGCATCGTCGCATCAACGTCGTAGCAACGTATCAGGAACGTAACAGCAACGTCGTAGCAACGTCGCAGCAACGTCGCAACAACGTCGTAGCAACGTATCAGCAACGTAACAGCAACGTCGTAGCAACGTCCCAGCAACGTCGTAGCAACGTATCAGCAACGTAACAGCAACGTCATAGCAACGTCGCAGCAACGTCGTGTGTTTGGCGGGAGGCTACACGAGGCTCAAGGGAAGAACAACATCCTCATAAATAAAGATGTTACTGTTAACTAGTGCTTTAACCTCACAGTTCGGGGCGGGTCCGAAATTTTCAATTTTTTTTCTTTCAATTTTCACAATTAATTTTTTTTTAATTTTCTATTACAGGACCACCACGTAGGGTAAGTGGTTGAGCGTTTTAAAGGGTGACGTAAATATGACCAGGAAATGACCTGCGTCTTAAAGGTGTATAGACGAAAACTTTTGCATCTCGGCCCCGCAACAATTTATCCTCTTAAGTGCAATTATGTCTTAAAATATTTCCATGGTGCATGAAGCGTTCAAAATGTCTTGAGCGCGTGCTCTCCAAGATAAGGCGTCTGCATACAAGATTAGCAACATTCTTACCTTGTGGTATTTGCTACGGCGCTCCGCAGATTGTGTGTCCGCACTGCACTTATGTAAATACTGGTATCTCGAGTGGGAACCAGTTCCACGGACCATAAGGATAGTACTTTGGTTTGCTTCTCACCCTCGACCCCTCCCAAGACTATGTGTAAGTATCGGTACGAGAGGGAAGAACTCAAATAATCTGAGCGCTCTCGTGGTTTAACACATTTTCAAGGAGTACAAAGTGTTAAAATACGAAAACGCTATGATTATTTTCGTTTTTTTCTCTATATGGATTATTTTCGTTTTTTCTCTATGTGGATTATTTTCGTTTTTTCTCTGTGTGGATTATTTTCGCTTTTTTCTCTATGTGGAAACTTACACATAACTGAATTGTGTGTTTTGGGGGGATTGTTTCATGCGTTGTGTGCATATGTAAATATTTTCTAGAAAACTACTATGCTGCATGTGTGACCTCTCACAGGATGATCAGGTATCGGGTCATAAGGAATAAATATTTGAAACAACACAGTAAAATCACAGAATGTGATAATTCTGAGAACATTCTGAACAGAATGTTCTCATTCGCTAGTGTAGAATGGGATCAAACATGCGTCCCTGGACTCGGGGTATATCATTCGATTCCGGGTTGTCAAGGTTTACATATTTAATCATCCTCCCTAATTAATACACAATTCTTAAATTTTTAACGCATTTAACAACACTGTAAATGAAAAATTAATTTAAAAAAAAGGATATTTTTAACACAAAATCTTAAGTAAGAAAGACTTAAGCCAACGAAACCACAACGTTCATAGGACGTTGTAGGAATGTTTCAGTTATGCCTAAAATACCGTTGTTGGAACGTTTTAGTTAAGCCCCAAGATAACGTTGTAATTACGTTACAACAACGTTGTATATATATATATATATATATATATATATATATATATATATATATATATATATATATATATATATATATATATATATATGTCGTACCTAATAGCCAGAACGCACTTCTCAGCCAACTATGCATGGCCCAATTTGCCTAATAAGCCAAGTTTTCATGAATTAATGTTTTTTCGGCTACCTAACCTACCTAACCTAACCTAACCTAACTTTTTCTGCTACCTAACCTAACCTAACCGATAGAGATAGGTTAGGTTAGGTTAGGTAGGGTTGGTTAGGTTCGGTCATATATGTACATTAATTTTAACTCCAATAAAAAAAAATTGACATCATACATAATGAAGTGGGTAGCTTTATCATTTCATAAGAAAAAAACTAGAAAAAATATATTAATTCAGGAAAACTTGGCTTATTAGGCAAATCGGGCCTTGCATAGTAGGCTGAGAAGTGCGTTCTGGCTACTAGGTACGACATATATATATATATAAAATTACATTGTTTGTCAATATAACTGAGTGTTTACGAAGTGTGTTAGCTGCATCAAATTACAGCTACGATGTTTATTAGCAATACAGAAGTGGTCAATTTAATGTCATCAAAATAAATTAATTTTATCATCCTTGAGACAAGGAAGACTATTAGTGTGGCGGTCCACCCGTCTAAAGGCTAATTAGGACGGGCACACCTGATAATGGCTCGCTAGCCTTGAATGTTAAAGTCTGAATGCAAGTCATATGTTCGGGAACTTTCAGCTTAGACTTTTTGAATTGGTTTGATAGTGTGGTCTGGTTCACCTGGTCGGGTGAGGTCTTGTCGACCAGATCATGAGGTGTGGTCGGGTTCACCTGGTCGGGTGAGGTCTTGTCGACCAGATCATGAGGTGTGGTCGGGTTCACCTGATCGGGTGAGGTCTTGTCGACCAGATCATGAGGTGTGGTCGGGTTGACCTGGTCGGGTGAGGTCTTGTCGACCAGATCATGAGGTGTGGTCGGGTTGACCTGGTCGGGTGAGGTCTTGTCGACCAGATCATGAGGTGTGGTCGGGTTGACCTGGTCGGGTGAGGTCTTGTCGACCAGATCATGAGGTGTGGTCGGGTTCACCTGGTCGGGTGAGGTCTTGTCGACCAGATCATGAGGTGTGGTCTGGTTCACCTGGTCGGGTGAGGTCTTGTCGACCAGATCATGAGGTGTGGTCGGGTTCACCTGGTCGGGTGAGGTCTTGTCGACCAGATCATGAGGTGTGGTCGGGTTCACCTGGTCGGGTGAGGTCTTGTCGACCAGATCATGAGGTGTGGTCGGGTTCACCTGGTCGGGTGAGGTCTTGTCGACCAGATCATGAGGTGTGGTCGGGTTCACCTGGTCGGGTGAGGTCTTGTCGACCAGATCATGAGGTGTGGTCGGGTTTACCTGGTCGGGTGAGGTCTTGTCGACCAGATCATGAGGTGTGGTCTGGTTCACCTGGTCGGGTGAGGTCTTGTCGACCAGATCATGAGGTGTGGTCGGGTTCACCTGGTCGGGTGAGGTCTTGTCGACCAGATCATGAGGTGTGGTCGGGTTCACCTGGTCGGGTGAGGTCTTGTCGACCAGATCATGAGGTGTGGTCGGGTTCACCTGGTCGGGTGTGGCGTTAACGACCAGGTCAGGTGTGTAACAACATACCTACAATGTCCTAACGACGTACCCACAACGTTGTAAAGATGTGTCCGGAATGTCATAAGTGACATACCCACAACGTTACAAAGACGTCTCCGCAACGTTTAACCGACGTTCCTGCAATGCTGAATGCTTCCCTGGTGCAGCAGTGAAAAGCATATTCTGAACCACATATGATTGGTTGTAACGAGTTAAAATCATGTTTGCATTGACTCGCAAATTTAGACAACAGTGAAACTCACAGTCTATCAAAATTAAAAATCAAATAACAAAATAAGCAAAAAATTTTCACAGCAAATTAATTAAATTTTCGAAGGAAATTAATCTTGTGTGAAAACTGTTCCGTTGTTCACATAAACTATCAATTAGACGTAAATCCCTTCAGAAAAGATTTCTTTTACACTTTGTAATTCTTTAAGAATTTTATTCTTGAGCAAGAAATTTAACTCTCCGTGATGTGAAACTTTGTTTCATGCAGTGTGTGAAACACCGCAAGGGTTTAGCACCACAATGGTTTAGCACCACAATGGTTTAGCACCACAAGGGTTTAGCACCACAATGGTTTAGCACCACAATGGTTTAGCACCACAATGGTTTAGCACCACAATGGTTTAGCACCACAAGGGTTTAGCACTTCAAGGGTTTAGCACACAAGGGTTTAGCACCACAAGGGTTTAGCACACAATGGTTTAGCACCTCAAGGGTTTAGCACCACATGGGTTTAGCACCAGGAGGGTTTAGCACCACAAGGGTTTAGCACCACAAGGGTTTAGCACCACAATGGTTTAGCACCACAAGGGTTTAGCACCACAATGGTTTAGCACCACAAGGGTTTAGCACCACAAGGGTTTAGCACCACAATGGTTTAGCACCACAAGGGTTTAGCACCACAAGGGTTTAGCACCACAAGGGTTTAGCACCACAAGGGTTTAGCACACAAGGGTTTAGCACCACAATGGTTTAGCACCACAATGGTTTAGCACCACAATGGTTTAGCACCACAATGGTTTAGCACCACAATGGTTTAGCACCACAATGGTTTAGCACCACAAGGGTTTAGCACCACAATGGTTT